CCCCAAAACCCCAAAACCCCAAAACCCCAAAACCCCTCTCAACCACCCAAAATTGAACTAACCAATATAACGTTATTTCCCAAACCCTGAGCATCTAAATCATCTAAAATCCCCCAAACTTCCCCTCTGCGCCTTCCCGATCCCCTCCCTGTCCAATCACTACCCCAAAGTCTCTACTAGTCGCCTCTAATTTCCCGCCTGCTCCCAAAACCCTCCACCCTCATGCTTTAACTGCACCAATAAAGCCACCTTTTTTCTTATATTATGGGTTCCTTCTTAGTCAGAATCTCGAACCCAAGAGGACTGATTAGGCTCTGACAAAGGTTTAGAACTCTGTTGGGCAAGGATTTGGGCTGGGAAGGGTAGTTTAGGGGGTGTAGAGGTTTTGGGTTTTTGAATTTTTGGGTTTTGAGTAGTTTGAGATGAATAATTTGAATGTGAAGAAACGCGATAAATTTTAAATAGGTGTTTTTAGGTGAGGGATGTAGAGGGGTTTTGGTAATTTATGATGAGGAATGTTGCGTTTAGAGGGGGTTTAGAAGCGAAATGCTAGGGTTTCTCATTGTGTGTGATGTGTGACGCTGTAGACTTAGAATAAAATGAATTTTGAAATAGTTTGGGATTTGAATTAATTTCAGAAAAGAATTTTATACTTGTTTTTTATTCCAAAATATAACTCAGGGAGAAACTATATAATAGCTAAATCTACACTAACATTATTTATGGCGAGTTAGGAGGATCAAAGGCTTCTAGGAGCTCAAATAACCAAAAAGAGCTTCTTGATCATTTTTGGCTGATCCTTTTCTTAAAAAGGTTATTGCTATTTTACCAAGCTTTTTGCCAAAGGCTTACCTATCCATGCATATGAGAATTCATTACCAAATTAAAAAGCCCAAAAATTGTTTTAGCCTGTCATAAATTTTCTTATACCGTTTCTTTTTCAAACTTCCATTCGAATTTAATAAGAATTTTATTGCACTTCATCAGGTTTTGTTGCTTAATAATCCAGGATGTTTTATTGTAACCCAGAATTCTGTAAAGTGAAATTAGAGATCTCTAAGAAAAATTGTATGAACAAGCTAATTAGGATCCCTCTCCCATCCAATAAAATAATAACACTCCTATTGATAGAGTAAACATTTCCAGGACAAGAAGTTTTTTTAATTTTAAGAAAAGTTAATATCGTTTTAATCATGACTTCATCTCTTAGAAGCTTTTATCTTCTTGATTAATGTCAACAACTACTTCAGGGTGTGCGGCTTCAACTCTTGAGGGGGTATTGATCTTTCTATCAGTCTAAAATTCATAAAAATCTTAATTACTTCATATTCTGGTCTTTCATCCTTACCGCTCCCCATTGTACTCTGACTAAATAATCCAATTATATGTAAAACTGTGAATCCTATATATTAGCAAAGCGATTTACAGATGACAATTCCCATAATGGCAGCTGCATTAATAATTAAAATTGCCATGAATCCCTTGATTGCTCCTTCAGGCCAATCTGACTCGCTCTCCATGCCAATCATGTACACCATGATGAAGAACAGGAAAGACTCGCATGTTATTTTCAAGCAATTATCAAAAACTAAGGAGAATGGTCTGACAAGGACCTAAAGCTTAGTAACTTCTGAATACTTACCATGAATGCGAGATAGATCACCTGAGTGCTTATTAATAATGCTAATGTCCATGTGCGCTCACCTTCCATTGCAATGAAGACCACAAGGCAGATATTCAAAAGTTTTCTTAACGTTGACACAAAAGGCTGTAGTCTCGAAGTTTTAGTATTTTTTACCCCTGAAAATATTTCCCTCAATAAACCTTTTTGGATGAAACCTGGGTCAGTCCTTGCGGAGTAATATAGAAAGAAGAGCACACTGATATAGCATGCAGAAGCTATCAGGAGCAGCCAAGCTGATATATGAGATAGTACCATTGATGTTTTTGAAAATTTAAATTCTCTGATAGAAATGCATGCAGCAAAGATGACAGTCATAAAAGTAAGCATAACGAATCTCATGTACACAGAATTTGAAATAAAATTCTTTGTCTTCATTCTGATAATTGTTCCATACTTTATCAATGCATTTGGATGATCTTCGTCTTTAAAGCAAACAGATAGTTTGGAAATTATATGAACTAGAACGATGAAAGCTAATATTGCAGTTAAGAAGAAATTGTTAAAAAGATGGCTTTGAGATTTTATTCCAACATTGTCCAACTTCTTCGAAACAATTCCGTAGTCTAGCCACTCAGTGAGCTCTTCTACATAAGGGATCTCTTGGATTTTCATAAAGTTAAAATTAGCCATGATGAATCCAACTCCATGAAGGAATTTTTCAAATTCCAAAGTTGTGCTATTATTAACAAGCATGACAAGAATAATCATTTGAATTTGGTCAATAACCATCCAAAGAGAAGTCAGTGGGATACCTTTTACTAAAGCTCCTATTACAGCAAGTATGGCTACGATTGCAAGAGCAACTAAGGTAGACACTTCAGCTATCTTCCTCATATCCTTTTCTTCTTCAGTTGTCTGGTCAGAAGTAGCGGTTCCGCTTGAAGAGGGAGTAGACGATGTAGTTGGAGGAGTAGTTGGAGGAGTAGATGGAGGAGTAACTGGAGGAGTAACTGGAGGAGTTGGAATTAAACCTAATAAAGCATTAGTCACTGAATTAGTAGATGTAGATAGTCCAGTTCCTACATTTGAGAAAACCAATCCATTTGGAGGTGTCCCCCTGTTGAAGTCACTGAAACATTTGTAGTAGTAGATCTCATCTTTGTTTGGTAATTTATAATCAGCAGCTAAGGCCGCTTTAGAAATACTAGCATAATGAAAAGTCATTGTTGGAGCAGAAGGATCTGTAGTATCATCAGACGTATTAGTTTTTGCTAGTGAACTTTTGTAGCTTGTCCCTCCTGTTGTATCAAATCTGCCGTCAGAATTGGTATAAGCTGCTGTTCCACTGTAGTATCCACTCCAAATGATGGATGCTAATGATGTTCAGGAAGATGCTCAGCGAATTGAATATCCAAACGTCTCTAATGAACTTGCATCACTAGTAAGAGTGTAATCGGATTGTGCTGTGTTGATTCACAGCATGCCGAAAAACATATTATCGTCCATGATAGTAGAAGGGAAGGTGAACTTCAAGTCAAACGAGTACACATCAGTAGAAGTTTCTGTCAAAGTGGCATCAGCTGCATAACCTCCTTGGCTCCCCAGAGATGCTGTGCTTGTGAAGCAGAGTGCTGTGGTCAGAAAGAAAGTAAATATTAAAATTAAAATCATTATGAATGCTTCAATACCTTGCAACTTAAATGGGGTTTTGGGGTTTTGGGGTTTTGGGG